GAAGGGGTAGCAAAGGCGGGTTCTGAACGCTGGGGAACGAGGCTGAGGCGTCGCTTAGGATCGAGAGTGTCTCTTTGTCTGTGTTTGCGTTGGCGCGGACGTCGGCGATTGCGGTGACGATGTCAGCGTTGAAGTTGAGCAGTGTGCCTTTAACACCACCCATGGCTTGCATGGCTTGGTTGAGGGGACGGCCGCCAAGGGCGAGTGTGCGGATGTCGTGGTTACGAGTGAGAAGACCTGTCAGGATACCACAGGCTGAGGCGCAGATACCGTCGGTGACAATGAGGATGTTCTCGGGTTTCCAAGGGGCTTCCTTCACGAAAGGCTTCCTTTTAGGATCGAAGCCGTTGAGATAAGCAGGGATCGCGGGATCCCAGGGAACAGTCTTGTCTGTTTGAAAGGCAGCAGTCACATTCTGACCCTTGACGGTATATGGACCATAAAACTCCTTGCCCGTTTCGATGTACTTGTTATCAGGGCTGATTGGGTAATAGTTGGACTGTGTGATCAAAGCCTTCACGAGATTGTCGTAGTCAGCCTCAGAGGTTGCTTCGAGGGCAGCATTGGCGCGATATCGATCCCAGCCTGTAAACTCGCCATCGGGGAATAGTAGACGGTAGATGGTTTGGGCCAAAATGACTGAGCCACCGCCGTTGGCAGACAAGTCGATGATAAGTTTGTCACGGCCAGATTCCTTAGCCTGCTTAATGAAGTCAACCACAACGGCTTGTCCCTCAAGGATGAACTTGGTCATGTCAAAGTCGGCACCAGGATTGGCGATATCGATTCCGATCGGCACGAAGCTCAGGATAGACAGAACGGCAGTGTCTTTATAGTCCTCACCATCGAGAAAGTACCCAGCGACCGTGTTAACTGAATGCTTAACGATAGGCTTCGGGTACCCGGTGATAATCTTGGACTCAGTTTCCTTGGTAGAACGACGCTCGTTCGCAGAAGGCTCTTTGGAGGTCGTATTGACGGGTGTAATCTCGATGTACTGGTGAAAATCCTCACCAGACTCAATACCTGACAGGTCAGCAGTAGGCAGGACGAGGATCTCGTTGACGACCTCCAGCGTACTGCCGTTGTGAAACTCGATCGTGTAGTTGTCGGGAATCTCAAATTGGGTAACGAACGTGTTGCTTGATTGGCCAGAAGCAGTACGAGGAATAGATGTAAAGAGGCTGTTGTACTGGGCATCGGGGTCCTGCAAGTTGGCCGTTGAACGAGCAGCATCTTCCTCCAGCCACTCAACGATGGGAATGCCGTCAATGCTTTTGACAGCCGAAGGGTGGTAGTCGAGAAGGCCTTGGTTACCAGTGGCAATGTCAATCCCGTGGAAAATGTATGGTAATCTGATACCGTTTGCTGAAACTGATTCAAAGTCTAGACCTCGTCGGATATATAAGAAGGCGTTGAGGAGGGCGGGAGGGTAGTCAAAGTGACCATCATAGGCGGCGGCAAACTAATCACAATGAGCACTGATCAAGGAAAGTAGTATCATGGTTCCTTACAATGCTTCGCAGGTCTGTCATGACTTCATATTGCGTTTTATACTTGTTGTTCTCCAATTTGCTCCTGATAGTCTCGAAACCACCGAGGACATCCACGCCAGGAAACAAATACTCTTCTGGTGGATCTGCTAGAATCTCGAGTGTACTTTGAAACGAAATTATGGGCTCGAGATAGTCGAGCAGCTCAAGATCGCGCTTCTTATCGAGAGGAACCGATTTGAGGCATGCGATACCGATAGAAGGAGGAACAGCAAGGATGACAGAAGCACCTTGCTCAGGATCTGACTCCTCATAAGCTTGACTTAGGTACTTGCAAGGCTCGGTCTTGGCATGCTTGAGATCACGAGATGATATAAACGAAGGCTGGTTTCGGGCCTGGTGCATAACCTGTCTCGGTTCGAGGGCAGCAACGCCGACCCCAGTGAGGGCCAGCACGATAGAAGGGATCATGATATGATTCTGTAAATAAAGAGTGATAGAGCTGGCAGGAGTTGGCTTCTGGGCGCCCACCAGCCCTTATATGTGGTCAATTCATGGCGAGTCAAACAAAGAAGTTTCTAAGCGTTTGGAGTCTCGATGTGAGTCGCAGCTTCAGCCGCCGTCACATCTCGAGTCCTGTGGCTGGGTGGAACTTCTGTATCTAGTGCTGATGGTCGGTAGTTGATGGGCTGTGCTGGTCCCACGAACCGTGCGGCTGGAGTAACTAGCTCTGCCCCAATGTTCAATGTGTTTCTCATCCCAATTCTACAACCTTCTCAATTCATTAGAGGTCTTGCTATCAAATCATATACTGGGGAATAAACGATCTTCGCTGCAAATCCTTCATTGACAGAATCTTACTTGGTTGTTGTTTGAAACGCCAACTTCTCCTGTTTCAACTCCACAGCTTGGCGACCAGTCAAATATGACCATTGACCTTTGTCCCGCGCCGATCTGCCTAACGGTTCTCTAGTCTATTTTTAAAAAAGTCCGCCTCGAGGCTTCTTTTGTAGGACTATTCAGCTGCCGTGACTCAGTTGCTCGGGCTTCAGCTAAGCGCAATCTGTGTCACTTGGCGTTTTCATCCCAAGCTTTAGCGAGGCTTAGCTTTGATGGAGTCTATTGAAGCGTGGAGCTCCCCTGTTGGCGGCATTGCTTCGACCATGATAGTAAGCCATGCCCAAACTGGGTAATTCGTCTGAACTTGAGTGAGGGGAGGCTCTGAGTTGCGGACTTTGGTTGCGGATTTTTCGTATAATTTTAAGCATGCTTCCTAGCGCGATAGAGCTGAAGAGATGGCGTTGAGGAATGATCAAGCCACAGCAGGGCGCATGTTGTACTGAATGAACAGGTCTCACAGTCACTAAGCATGTTTTCGGTCCCGAGTAAGTCTTGTATTTTCCGGTGAACCGTGGGTTGGCTTCCAGAATTGGAACTGTTGGCCTCTTGACCGTCGTAACTTAACCTACGAAAGAGCTCAGGTTTGGACAACCACCTTGCACCATTATACTACTGTAAGCTACCGCTGTAGTCTTCAACAGAGTTCAGAAATATTAGAATACGTTCACTCGCGTTAAATGTGCTAGAGTGATTACATCCGCCTCTTCATGTTTATTGTTGACTTGTGAACTCATCGGCAGGGTTCACCTGATTGACAATCCCACATGCTTTGTCGAACTGGGATTTGGTTCCCGAACAAGACGCTTGAACGATGGAAATAGTCCAATTTCATCTAAAATATACTAATCATGCCATTCTAGGTATTATTAAGTATAGCCAAAACTCCAAGTCCCAAAAGCATAGTATACAGCAAGGTCTTCAACACTTAGTATCCAGAGGCAGCGAGTCTAGCCTTCTCATCATCAGCAGTTTCATACTCTTCATCCTTCTTATCCTCCTTCGTATCCTCGTATCCGGGAGGTGCCTCTTTCATATCCTGAGAAGCATCTTCTCGAGTTTCTTGGCCCCGAACCTCAGGCTCATCGGTATACCTCTCCTGCTTCTCAGACAAGATGTGGTCGCCAGGGGGAGGAGCCTCGCCCACAGCTTGCACGACAGTTCGATCGTAGTCAGTTCGGCCCTCGAGAGCCTGGAGTACTTCGAACAGAGGCTTGGCACCAATGGGCCAAGCAACATCGCCACGCAGAATCTTTTCCGCCGTGATGCCGTGCTCTTTATAGAATGCAGCATTGGCATCTCCTCGAATCATGCACACAGTGCCATCGACCTGAACACCCATCCATAGACCGCGACTCTTCATGTAACTCCAGATAGGTCGAGCTGTCTTGCTCAAGGCAGCCTCAACACTACCACCTGTTCCAATAGGTCCAACAGTAATGGAGCCCTCAGCGCCGAGCGACAGACGTGGTTTGGTGAAGGCCGCGACTTGCTCGGGAGTGTTGAGGACACAGACGCAGTCGTATAAGTTCAGGCCAAAGACAAAGCCTGCACCGAGTGTGCTTACGACGAAGGATGAGGGAGGGGACCAGGTACCGTCTGGGCGGCGGGCGATAACTACACCGGAACCTCCGGCAAGAGAGCCGTGGCCTCCTCCTGCGCGGAGAACATTGAAGATGGCGAGGCCGGCGGCGCGTTGAAGGACAGAGGGAGGGATCTTGACCATGGATTTGCGGGTGAGGCCTGTTGGGTGGAGTGGGCCATGGGCATTGGGAGATGTGGACTTATTAAGGTCTAAAAGTGTAAGTCAGTATGATCCTCGAAAGTACTTGAACATGGTACTCACTGGTAAAAGAGTGGAGGATGCGAGCAGCCTTGGAACACTCCCTGTCCATAGTTGTAGGCCACCATCCCTCAGCTCCGATGAAGTGGGCTGCTTTGTTGAGCGGCGAACCAGCCTTGGAGCTGAACTTGTGAAAACGTTCACCTGCTGTTGGCTTGTTTGCAGGAATTGTCTCCCGTTCTTGATGCTCTGTTTGATAGTATTCTTCTGTGTCGGGTTGGATGTCGTATGATGGTGGTTGCCCGGCTTGCTTGAGAGGGTCGATTGCCTCGATGGATTTGTTGGAGGCAGAGTAGACGATGGTCATCTTGAACTGTTCAAGGCTGAGGTATAGAGATAATTGTAGTGACTTAGTAAAGTATTAAGAAATTGGTTGTATTAGTGCTTGAAAGCCTGTGAAGTACTGATTGATATGTCCATCCTTGAGCAGGCTCTCTCATCTTATATATATCTTCCCTCGGAGCATCAATTCGTCCACGTTCGCATCCATCTCGCATTCTCTTACTAGTCCACAGCCTACGCAATCCGTCCAACCAGTTCTTCAGACTAACTTTGCCTCTAGGCGTAGACACAGGCTGAGCAGACGCGGCCGCCTAGGAGGAGGATGTGTCGTGCGTGGACGTGTGAGGCGCAGCAATCGTCTCACGGAGGGGCGAAAAGCGAACAACGAGCTAGCGAAAGGAAGGTGCGATGGATATAGTGGATGTTAGATGCAACTCTCTCAACAATCGGATCGAATGGAGTTCCATTCACATCCTATGTTTGTAGTCTTCGTGGCTCAGTTGGTTAGAGCGTTGGTCTCATATTATCATATGATCTGATTAAACATCAGAGTTATCCAAAGGTCGTGAGTTCGAGCCTCACCGAGGACACTATCTTTTGCCGTTGGTGATAGATATCTTTTTGTAGCTGCTGAGGCTATCTCGACCATCCTCTCCTCCCAGAGCCCCCTCTGACTAACTGCATCTTGCTGCCTTTCGTCTCTCGTTATTATCTATCTATAATACACAGTAATTCCAATTCAGGAGATACGGTGTTGCTCCACTCACACATCTAATTTGAAGGTAAGTCTGTACAATGTTGAGAACGACACGACAACCCACCATATGGCCGTAACGGCGAATGTAAACACTAGGATTAAATCCCGTTCCTGATGTCGAGGACAACAGGTTCCTTCGAATGGAAAACTCGTGTCTAGATGCGAACGGGTTTATTCCAACTAACCTTGTCGGAGATATGTCTGGGGTCTTAGAACACTTACATGCGACTGAACAGCGGACTAGTTGGGAAGACTTCTATGGCATCTTCGCAGTACAGTAGATATTACCATTTGGACACCTTGGTAGAGTACAATAGAATTGAGGTAATCTTTTCACAGTAATTAAACAGTGGATGATTGCTGGTACTAGGTGGCCGGCTTAGTATATATACCTTGAACTACGTGACCCGCAAGTATCCAATCTAGGTATATTAACCAGAAGCCACCGCCAGTATCATTATTCCTTGCACACATTGGACATGACAAAACTCAAGACGTTTGACAAAAGTATCGCTCGATCATTTACCAAAGAGAAATGATAGAACTCGACGCCTCAATAGGGTGAGCTGTTCTGTGGAATGACCCTGAGCAAGGGAGACATCTGTGTTACGTGATTGGCCAAGATCGACATGCAAAGCACGGATGGGGTACGTACCTCCGAGCACATCCCCCACGTCATTCCCGAGCTGACCCTCCCTGCCCATTACGGGAGCTTCTTCAGTTCCAGCTCCCATCAGTATCATCATGACAATTGTACCACCGTCACCACAATCCAACCCCTCTCTTCCATCTTGAATTGTTAATCAACCACGCTCCTTCAATTCTTCTCACTCAAACCAATCCATCAACAACTCCATCTGCTGCACTCATCTCCCTGATAACGACAGCATCATGGCCCCAAGCGCAACCAACTCGTATAGCGACACGGCTCGCGACAATGCATCTGGTTTCATCGCCTATGCGCGCAACTCTGTCGATCGTGTAGTGCCGCCTAATTCGCGACAGCAAGCTTATGATAACGCTGCTTCTTTTGCGTCGTCGCGACCTATTCTCTTTGTACGTTTTGCCCTCCCTTGGGACCATCACTGTATAGAGCATGAGGCTAACATCTACAATCAGTCCTTCATTGTATCACAGCTCCTCCTCTCTTTTCTCCCTCTTCTCATCTTTCTTACCTTCTCGCTCTCCACCGTCATCTTCGCCCTCGGTGCAGCTGTAGTCTTTGCCCTCTTCTGGATCGGCGTCGCCCTGCTGGTTCTCGTGCCTACACTGCTTGTCACCTCGTCCATTGCCGTTCTTGTTTGGGGCTGGGCCGTCGGCAGCTTTGCTGTTGCGCGATGGTTGTACAACCACTCTCCTGTAGGCATGCAGAACGGGGAGGTTGTCAAGAAGGAGAATGGCAATTAGATTCACGCATACCAATCAATCATCGAGACATTTACCTAGCCTTAGGTAGAGATGATGCAATGAATTAGGCAATTGGCCTGAAGTATTCTCTTATTATTACAATAGTTCATCTCAGCTTACTAGATATATCGATTATCTATCGAGCTACCTGGGGGGTGTTATCGGGTTCGGATTGGGGATGGGAAACAAGGGGTCACGGCTCGGGAAAAACATAGGAGTTTTGGTTTTTACCCTGGATCAAGGTAGGCAGGGTAGCAAGGGCTGATGGTACGGATGGCTTTATGGAATAAATCAAGTCGGGATTCACTCGAATTACCAAGGTCGGAAAACACGCCGTCACAGTCCTTAGGGCATTCGTGGACAATACATTAATCAGTCCCTAATTTAATCATTCAACCCAAACTTGGCTGTTCAACCTCTATTCCTCATTACGACCGAGAACCCATCTATCTCTGTCCCAAATGCACTGGTACATTACAAATACAGACCCTCTGGCTCACCCTCCTGCTTTGTACGGAGTACCCTCTCACGCGCCGATCGGAAGTCCGCCATCTGAACCCGCATTCTTCGTTCTCGGAGTGCCAGCAGACCAGCCTCAGAGCAGATGGCCTTGATGTCGGCACCAGAAAGGTCGTCCTTTTGTGAGATGAACTCCTCCAGATCGACATCGTCGTTAAGGTTCATCTTGGAGGTGTGGAGTGTAAAAATCTTGCGCTTGGTGTTCTGGTCGGGGTTCTCGAAGAGAATCTTTCGGTCGATACGTCCAGGTCGAATCAAAGCGGGATCCAGAGTATCAATCTTGTTTGTGGCCATGATAACCTTGACATCACCACGGTCATCGAAACCATCTAGCTGATTAAGAAGCTCCAGCATGGTTCGCTGAACTTCTCGTTCACCACCCGATGTTGAGTCGTATCGCTTCGTACCAATGGCATCGATTTCGTCAATGAAGACAATAGATGGCGCGTTCTCACCAGCAACCTAAAAAATGTCAGTCAAGTCAAGGTCATCCATCAAAGGAAGCAACATACCTGGAAGAGCTGTCGCACAAGTCTTGGGCCATCTCCAAGATACTTCTGAATCAACTCGCTACCTACGATACGCAGGAAAGTGGCAGAGGTTTGGTTGGCAACAGCCTTGGCCAAAAGTGTCTTTCCGGTACCGGGAGCACCATAGAGAATGACACCCTTGGGGGGCTTGATACCCATCTCCTCGTACAGCTCAGGGTGAAGCAGTGGCAACTCCACTGATTCTCTGACTTCCTGAATCTGTTGTTCCAGACCACCAATGTCGGCGTATGACTCGGTTGGCGCCTTGTCAAGCTTCATCACACTGACAATAGGGTCGGCATCATCTGTCAAAACACCAACAATACTGACGCTCTTGTGATGCAAAAGGACACTGGCACCAGGCTCCAGCAGGTCCTTGTCAACAAAACTCATGATGCTGACGTAGTACTCGGGGCCGGTTGTGCTGCTGACAATCGCATGGTCATCGTCAATCAACTCCTCCAAGGTTCCGACGCCCATGGGGCTTCCTCGCATATCGTCGACACGGCCACGTTCGTCTGCTAATCGGTCGATGTCGGCATCAGGACCGGCGGTTTGACCCTCCTTGGCTGCCTTGGCTTTTCGCAGACGCTCTTGGTTCTCGACATACTCCTCCTCAAGCAAGAGGTGATCGTGGATTCGCTGCATTCGTAAAAGTCGGAGCTTGCATCGGCTGGTAGGGTAGACGGCGGGAAGCTTCTGGGCGGCGCTGGTGCCACCAGCCTTTCTCTTCTTGCGGCCGACTCGTGTCGTAGGTCGAGGCGGGGGCTCGTACTTGGGCTTATCCTTCTATCGGGATGTTAGAAGTAATCACCGACACTTGGATGCGATTTGCTTGCCTTCTTGTCCTTGTCATCACCGCGTCCTCCTTCTCCCATACCAGATTGTCCTTGACCCTGATAACGTCAGTAGCTGTAGCAACACCGCAACTAGCAGTGGAAGTTTACCATCTTGGTAGATTCAGCTCCTAGAGCTTAGGACTGCTTGATGTCGATTGATTTGGTGCTGTAGTTATCCTTGGGTAGGAGTGAGGAGTGATGGTGGAGGTGATTTGATGTGGAGGAGAGGTTGAGGTAGAGGCTCCAGAGCTTAGTGATGATGAAAGCGACCGCCAGGCGCCAGGGAAACACGACAGCAGCTCCAGCCTAGTCACGTGCTGCACTCGACAGCCGTCACGTGATGAACACCACGACAATATCGTGTCCCAGCGATGGTCGGAACTAGGAAGCTGTAATTATCGCTACTGATTAAAGATGAGTTTTTGAGTTTCATCATCTATCTAGGCTGACAAAAGAATTGTCGTTGAACATAATTGATCTTCGTCGGGGTGATCACAGGTATACCGGCCTACCATACAGCCTGTATTCTGCTTAGCATTCGCCTTTCCATGAAGAGAAAGAACACGACTTCCATTGTCTCCTCATTTCATGAATAACTGAACAAGGAATATATAAATCATGGTTCTTTGTAGTAATTTGGCCGTTCTTCTGGACACACGCCTGGATAATCTAGGTTGATGATAGACCTGGAGACGTTCCTACCTGAGATACTGGACTGAAGACAAGGATCCATGTTGAACCTTGTTGGGCTGATCGAATGAATGGCTTGCGCAAGAAGGCGTTATGAGACTTCACTGAGAACACTACAACATTGCTGGTTAGCCTTGTTGCATCTGTGAAGCAAAACTTATTGTCTGTAAGACGCCCCTCAGCGAGGCAGATAGGATATCCATTTGCCATATGTACCAAGTAAGACGGAATAAAGGCGTCCATTCGGGGTTAACAAGGGTTTTGTTGCGAGCCATTCGGTCTTGGGTCCCTTACAGGTCAAGGTAAAAGACAGGAGAACATATTCGCATATATGCCGCACCTATTTAGCTAGGAGATCTCATATCGTTTCGACTCTTCTTAGAACATGCCCTAGAAGCTCACTTACACTCTTCGGAGACCTTGAAGGACTGTGATCCATGGCCTTCTACTTTTGAACAGCTGCACCAAGTCAACGCCCCCCGCAGGACGCTAACTCTTAGCGGTCTCTTCAGTGGAGTGACGTCGGCCTTCCTTTGGCTACGCTACGCCACAACCTGACAAAAAACCAGGACCCCTCCTTCTATCGACAATCCGCCTTCTACTTGCACACGAGCAACCCGACTGCACCTGCAGCTGAAGCTTACCACAGTAGCCGGTGCTAAAGGTTCTTTTTTAAGCCACCCTGCTGTCCTTCTCTCCTCATTCTTCTTTTCGTCTTAACAACAGCTACTTATTCAAAGATATCAGCTCCAACCAGCCTTACCGACTCTTACTCTCCCCACTACACGTCAACGACACCCGGCATCATGTCTAGAGATCGTCGTATACTCAAGGAGCTCGCGGACATT